CTCTGCTCAGACAGATACACTGAAGCCTGGAGTAGCACTCAGCACATCAGGAAGATCAGCCAAGCAAGTGTTACACTAACGGCCGCGCTTTCATGCTCTAGTAACATGACAGACTCTCAGCAGAGGGAAGCACGTCGTCTGCTTCCACATTTTACACTGAAACCAACTCTATAATTATAAATTCCTGGAGAGAACGGGATTGATTATAACTCGGTAAATGACCTCAAAAGCAGGCAGTGTTTGGATTGTTTTCATCTCTTTTGTTATGCCTTTGTTTACATACAGTTAACCTTGGCTGTAGTGCATCTTAATCTTCAGATTACACTTTAATCAGAAACCTGTCCAACAATCAGGAAATGAATAACACGTAAACAAGTAGCTGTCGGTATCAGAACACACAACTCAGGCGGTATTAGACACCGGCTTCTTTATAGCTTCAACCGCAACTCGCTGATCTGTCTTGTGATCCGTGTGAGTGTGTGTGTGTGTGTGTGAGGGAAACAAAAAGAAAGAGTGTGTGTGTGTGTGTGAGGGAAACAAAAAGAAAGAGTGTGTGTGTGTGTGTATTAAATGAACAGTGAGCGATTCACACTGTTATTGTGTCATCATGTCTTTATTTCAATCTGGGAGCCAGAGTTAATGAATATCAGAGAGTGGAGATGGAATCCACCTCGCCTTAGCTTTAATGGACCTGAGCGGGTCAGGAGCTGCATATTGATCAGGACAAGTGATCCCTGTCACTCTCACACCTGAACGCACACAGACTTCAACCTGAGTCGAATCCATGACGTTTATTACCTTTTTAAAGCTTATTTTCTCGCAGTGTTGTGAATGTATTGTTTTTGCCAGTTCACATGATGTTGCAGGGTCACTGTACATCAAACAGCGGCACATGATCCTAATGTTAAGGTCACAGAAATGGAAAGTTCACAGCTGTCTGAGGAGCCTCTACAACACAACCATTGTGTGAACACTTGAATACACTACAAGTCTGTTGGAAAAAAAACATTTTTTGCGACATTTCAATTTGCCAAAATCCAATTTAAGGAACCATGTAAAAAAACATCAGACTTCTTTAAGCAACAGCACCATAAAATGTCAACAAAACAATTGAATTGTCTCCCGACAGCACTCGTAAACTGATCCAAATGTTTGCAGAATGTAGGGACTTAATTTAAATGCACCTGTTTTTGTTTTCCCAAATCCAGAGTAAATTGTTGTTTTGGAGAAAACCTGTACAGCGCCAGAGCCCGTTCTGTTCAAAACAACAGCACAAATTGCTGCGCTCTGCCATGACACGCTTTAATCCCAGCAGAATAAAAGAACATCAGATTACGGCACAAAGACGGAGCCATCGGTAAACAGGGATTAGGGGATTGGGACTTTAATCTGATTAATATGGAGGCAGTTGGAATATTAGAGATGTTACTGAACAATTGTATTCCAGATGAGAGGATAATCACACATTACCACGTCATTTATTTCGCCCTGTTAGAGCTTCCAGAGCTAAACACGGCACCATATGTTTACCTGACCTCCAGGCTGCCTCAGAGAAAACAACATTCCCCTCAACGTTAGGAGTCAAAAGCCAAAACATAGTCAGAAATGTATGGATATGTATTTTAGCGTTGTTAGAATTGAAAGACAATTGGCCTGAGTGAACTCTAGATTAGTTAAAATAACTTCCTGAATAATCTGCTTTAATGATCCACACAGTATGTACAGTGCACTGTCATGTGTTTAAATCTAAAGATAACAATGATCAACAATAACCCTACACTTACTTAAAGTGGCTGAATTCAGAAAGGTCTACCATATTTCATTTTTGTATATGTTTGTATCAGAGTGCCTCATCACTTTACCCCAACAGAGCACTGCTTGTGGGTGGTGGTAAGTATCAATCAATACAATTCAATTTTTTACAGTTTGCCGTCATGTATTGGTCTTTTTGTGACTGACATCGAGTCGTATCATTCGTCAAAATATATCTGACGGAGTTTTTAAAATAGATCTCCCATTGATAATGCAAAAAGTAATGTGAGTGTTCTTTATTGATATCATTTTAACAAAATGAACTTGAATGAAATGTCTGAAATGATTGTCTTAATCTGCTTTATGCTGTGTAGTGAACATTGACGCTGGATGCACTCGTAGAGACTCTTCTCCTTGCTGCTCTGATATACACAACAATCCATTTCCTGATCATCTTAAAAGGAATTATGCAACTCGGACAGTAGTTGATATTGGTTATTGACGTATCTAATGTAAAAAAAAAAAGCTATATTCTTCTATTTACTGGGAATAAAATAAAACCACACACTTGAAATCTAAAGAAGTGTCATATCACATTTTGGAAAATCCATCTAAAATGTTCCAAACTGCTGCACCTCGATGGCTCATAATGAAAGAGAAACACTAGGACAACAAGCTATACTTAACATATCAGAATTGACCTCTTTAGTCTCACACTTATATTATATATCCCGCATCGTGTGTGCACAACACAAAGACAACACTATGCATTTCTATCAGCAGCCTGACAAAAGTGAATTACCGCCCACAGTTGATTTGGAGCCTCGGCCTGCTCGGCACATATATCTTTTAAACACACAATATGACACAGCGTGGATGAATCCATTGCCAGAGTTTAGCCTGTTACTGATATGAAGGGGACATTTCAATTCAACGCTCTTATGTATATTTTGACTTCCGTGTTTATCATCCTTAGCAGACATCACATCCGCGTTATGAATAGGCACCCTGCTGGCCCTTGATATGGTAAATTGGACGTTTTATGGTTTATGAAAAGGGGTGTTTTTTATCTCCCACTTTTATTCATGAGCCCTGAATCTCGTTGTAAATGCCTCTAAGAAAGATTCAGCTTTATTAGACTCATGAATAAAATCGATGTTGCCTATTATGGCTGAGGTCGGTGGCCACTGAGGAAAAACTTCTCTTTGCCAGAGACTTGTGAGTGTCAGTCCAACACACACACACATAACATTTCAGAGTGTGTGCATGACATTTCCCCAGCTTGTAGCGATGGCTCAAACACCACCGAGTGTCGAGCAGTTCCCACATCAAGAGGGAAATGATGGCTTTCCATTTTGAATGTCACTTAAATCATGGTTTAGTAGTAAAATAGTTGTACATTTCTGCCTTTGATATTTTTCTGTGTTGTCTGTTTTCCTTTGAATGTTTTGTTTCCCACACGCATATGGCTCTGTCTCACCCCTAGGGAATCTCCTCCTCTGGGCTAATGTGAATATTAGTATGGGTTAAATGCTCTAGTCATTTGTGCATTAATGCATGTTGCATAATTAATGTTTTTTGCTCAAAAAGCATCCATTCCTGTGTCAAAACTTAAAAATATCAGTCCTAAAACGTGAGGAGCTGCTGCAGGATTTTCTGCATGAGCTGTTTTGATGTCTCCTGATCATTTCCCTTCTTGATTAAGAGGCGTTGTGTGAGGATTCAAGGCATTCAGGAGTGTGATGGGATTAAAGGGGACACTGTAATGACCCTGTTGTCGGAGGGGCTCATCATACAGACACAAAGTCGGAGAGAGCGGAGGAAAAACACAAACACAATGTCACTGTTGTTCTCATGTTTAAAGAAAAGAAACTCATTTATCATTTCAATTATAAGAACAATCTTATTTTTTTAATCTTATCTTTAGTTATTTTATGTTTTTTCTTTTTTTAATCTGTCATCTAAAAGACATTGTGACGCAATAGATCTATATTTGGGTATTTTGTTGAATTTATTTAATTTGAAGTGAGTATTTCATTTTACATTTTTCACATTGAACCAAGGATTGTTTGGGATATATTAGCGGGTAATAATGTTGCCTTGAAAATGTTTTAACATTGACATTTAAGATGTCTGTTGCATTTATTTTTTAACGTCTGCACAGTGTTGAATTAAGATTATAGTCGTTGCATTTAGAGCTGAAAATCTTTGCAGGTCAATCTAACAATTTAATCAAAGCCTGACAGGAAATGCTTAATTGTTGAAAATCCACAATAAAAAAGAAATGGCAGTACACTAATTCATCTAGTGAGAAAGAAAATCTCAGTATGTTGCATTTAACATCAGTTGCCTCTGTCCATGGCACTGAAGTCTTTAATGGCCTTACTGTATGTGACAAAAATTAAGTTTAAGTAACTTAATCATCAATAAAATTGTTGCTTCATTTCGTAATAACTGTATTTCTTCCCCTTGATTTCGTGCGTAATTGGAAAAAGTGTGTGGCCTAAACGCAGTCTTCTCATTTGATCCATCTTCACTTCCTGTCTGCATTTTGGAGATTAATATCTTAGTAGAAAGATTTAAGATTTTAGGATTTTAAATAATGTCTTTACATTTCAGGCTATTTGGTCTCATCAGAATCTCCTGGTGTGGACAGACGACCGAGGAGGACAAAGGGTGAGTGTATGGGAGTCAGCTGATGGCTGCGTGGTGATTAAAGACACCAAATTACGGCAATGAGCAGTGTCGTAATTACATTCCTTAATCACATTCTGGAGGTCTAATTGCCTTAACGATGTGTTTCATTGCGTGAAGGCAGGTATTACAGTCGACAGTTTTCATACACACTTGTTTTCGAATTAACGTATTATCACACACCGTCACGGTAATTGTTTTAATAAAAGCAATAAAGGTGGACAGAGTTTTTGTTTTTGTTTCCTGGAGCAGAGAGTTGTTTTTTGTTCTGCCTTGAGGCGATTTTCAGCCTACACGTCTGGCCTTCGCTCCCAAGACTTGGCGTCACTTTCAGCTCAAGAAAATACAAGTTATCGGTTTTGATGGAGCAGAAAATGATTGACCAATTGTTTCTCAGTGTACTTGACACGTCGCGAGAGTCGAAGAAATGAGAGCTGCATCACCCAGAAACGGGTGGTCTAATTTCATAATAGGTACTATAATAAAAATGTTTTGCAATTTAAAACATGATTAGTTCTAAAAACGCAGCATTCACTGACACTAAGTTTGACACCAGATGAAGGAGCAGAAGTATTTATGTTGTTCAAAATATTTTAATAAAGCTTTTCAACACTGAAATACATACAAATGGCCCTCTTCGCCCATATAATAACTAAAGTATCTACAATAATCCACATCTTGACCTGACAACGCGATTCATCTGAAGACCTCGATCATATTGTGTAAAAAAAAAAAATACAACAACTCAGAAAGAGACTACAATGTGCAATGCAGGCAGAATATCCAATATCAATATCCAAATTAATAAATTACAAAAAGACACACCGAAACAGCTTGATTCTTGAAGGTTTCTAAATGTTTCTTGAATAGTATTATATCACAGTGCCCCATTAAAGAATTGTAATAGGCGTGCGCATCTATTAACAAGTGTCCGGGTTAGCACATAAATATCTGGAAACCAGCCTCTATTTAATCTCCTTGTTCATGACATTCCACGTGTTCAATAGAAAAGTTCATGACAACAGGCCTCGAACCAGAAAGCAAATGTCTCTGAGGTGAGGGAAATAAAAAATCAATAAATAAGGAAGCAGCAGTGAGGTTGGACTAACGCTCCAGGAAGGTGTCCATGTTTTTAAAAAGTCGCAGGTTGTCAGGTCACCCAAATCTCCTGGGGAAAAAAGGTCCAAAGTGATCAACAACTCACTGAACCGCAGCCACTCGCACAGGCCTCGCGTTTGGTCTTCACTGTCATTCATACCAGCACTTAAAGGATGATTTATATACACAATCAAGTATTGTTTGAACAAAAAAGCGCGTTTTGAATGCATTTAGTAAATATTATAAAAGTATTCATCGGCATTACTTCTTCGTCTCTAGCCTATCAACAACACAGGTCTCCCAAAGTGTTCTTCAAACTCTCCCCTGTGCGTCTGTGGAGTCTTAAGGCTTGTCAGTGCACTGTTTGCAGAGGCTGGCGGTGGCGTTGTTGAATAGGGCACATTTATGTGGGCAGGAGGCTGAAGCCACCCCGGGTGGGAAGGGATATCCAGGCGGCTGCTCGTACGCGCCCAACCCGGGAGCTGCGAGGGCGGTGGTGGCCGGTATCGAGGCGGCAGATATGGCTTGACCCTGGTTCAGATACGCCACCAGCCGCCTCATCTCCTCCAGTGCCTGCGCCTGCATGAGGATGTAGTTTTTGGCGAGCAGCAAAGTGGCAATTTTGGAGAGTTTCCTCACCGAGGGGCTGTGCGCGTAAGGGATGACCCCTCTGAGCTCATCCAGCGCGTCGTTCAGGTCGTGCATCCTCCGCCTCTCTCTGGCGTTGATGTTAAGCCTCAGTGTTTTCTGCTCTTTGTTTTTCTTACCTCCTGGTTTCCCAATGGGCACGCTCCGTCCGTCAGTCAGAAGGATCATTTCGCACCTCTCATCGCTGTCATCGTCCTCGTCCCCGCCGCTGCTCTCCGCCGCAGAGGTCCTATTGGCGCTCTCGCCGAAATTGACGCACAAAGATCCGGTGGGCAGACCCAGTGGACCCCCTCTGCCTCCTGCAAGTCCTCCCGGCTGGATGGAGTCTTGCTCGGTCTGGTCAAAGCAGCTGATAGGTGACTGGCGGTCTCTGGCTGCGAGTTCAATGCCAGCCGACGACCGGAAGGGGTCCGTTTTCTTAGTGGACACAGCGCTGAGAGTTTTGTGAAAAATGTCCCCCGCGCCTCCGTTCAAGTTCATCCTCTCCATGGGCTCTTGCTCGTGCGGGCAACGGTCTCTTCTGGGAACTCTGCGCGCGCCTCTATGAGTTTCTCCCTGTGTTCTTCCTGCTTTAGTTTAGTTGTGTGTCAGAGGAGAAGTTGCAGGCTTGTTCGACTTGTCAGCTGAGGTGTGGAGACGAGGAGGAGACTCAAGTAATAAGTGCCTCTCTGACTCTCTCTCTCTCTCTCTCTCTCTCTCTCTCTCTCTCTCTCTCTCTCTCTCTCTCTCTCTCTCACATTCACCTTCACAGGATCTCCGCGATGATCCTCGTTACGCACGAGACGCCTGAGTCTTTTTACATCATTATCTCGAGGCGGGTTATTAAAAAGGATTCGCCTATTGGGATAGAGACCCCCTCACCCCTCTCACTCCTCACCCAATCAGCTTAACGTTTTAATTAATGGCATTTAAACATGGCAAACAATACCGCGTGTGCTCTATCATTCCCTTCAAGTGTGTGTTTACAAGTCATTTTGCATCTGTGTTTTTAGAAGAGAGTCTGATCATAAAAGGGGATATTCTTCATGGACCGTGTGAGAAGTTGTAATTTTAGTCAATCTCTTTTGTAGAAGTCTATAGGATTCAAATCCAATAGACTAGTGTTGTTTTCATTACTTTTATCACTATTTGGTTAGTTCCTCTTTTCTTATGTGGCATCAAACCGCCACTTGAATTCAAAGAGAGAGACCAAGCATATAATTACCAAACTTGACATGACACTCTTTAGCAGACTTCAGACTGCATCATCCTTATGAAAACCACAGCCAGCACATTTCATTTCCCCTGCTTTGTATTCTAAATCTCCCCAAACCAACACGGATATTCTTGCAGTGCAGGACGTCTCTTGGTTTTCCCTGACCAACATTTACCTGTGGTCATACTGCCATCTACTGGGTTGTGTGGTGCAGTACACCAACAAGGGGAATTCAAATGTACTCAGCATCAGCTAAGCTTTGTCCAGCTCTCTACCCTCAGGCACACCATCATGTGAGGGCTAAAGAAAAACCCTAATATTGAACTAAATGTGCCTATGATAATTATCTGGTCAATTGGAAAAATGCCATCTACTTGTTCCATTTGAAATAGTAAAGCAACTGTAAATAAGTGTGGGTTTGGATATTACACTTAAAGTTTTTATAAAACAATTAAAAACAGATAAAAGGAAAAATACATATTTTCTATAACTCTGAATCAATTTACATAATAGGTGTGGGTGCTGCAGTCTTTGAAAAATAGCAAGTGTTGTGCAAACTAGGGGCATAATCTTTTTGTCTTTGGTTCATAGATGTTTACCTCAACCATTGCTATGGGAGCTGTCCGGTGCTGAACACGCAGAGACCCTTTGCTCTTATTAGACGTCGTACACCAACTCCACAGGTAGCCAAAGTGCACCGTAGCCCAGGTGACCCCACAGCTCACTGGGATTCATTATGACCCGCTTTCTTACTGCTTGCAACACATTCTTCTTCACCTCTTTCACAAAAAGCCTGTTCAGTAATTACTCCCCCCC